GGGACATGAGGGGGAACAGAGGGTTGGAGGGAGGGCCTGGGGTGCAGGCTCTGGCTGGAAGACACTTACCTAGGTGGCTCCCAGTCATCAGCCCAGCAGAATCCCCAGGAAGGCTCCCTGCCTTCCACGCACCTGCATGCTACTCAGAGTGCAGGGGCTTCGTGTTCACTGTGATCTGTGTGTGCCAGGATGGGGGTTCTTTGACATGAGGGGGAACAGAGGGTTGGAGGGAGGGCCTGGGGTGCAGGCTCTGGCTGGAAGACACTTACCTAGGTGGCTCCCAGTCATCAGCCCAGCAGAATCCCCAGGAAGGCTCCCTGCCTTCCACGCACCTGCATGCTACTCAGAGTGCAGGGGCTTCGTGTTCACTGTGATCTGTGTGTGCCAGGATGGGGGTTCTTTGCATGATCCCTGTGCTGCAAGCACAGTCAAGGCAGCCCCCATTAGCTGATTTTCAGCCAATGGGAACTGTGAGATTGTGCTGGGGCTGGAGGAAGCGCACAGAGTTTCGCCCTAGCGTGTGGTATGCAGAAAACGTATCGCCCCTGCAGCCGGCCACTTTCAGTCGTATGTGGGGCACAGAAGGCAGGGCTGCTGCTGGGCCATGGGCTGGATCCAGCCCATGGGCCATATTTTGCCCACCCCTGCCATAAACAGTGGCTTTGCTATTCTGTCTCACACCTGCTCTGGAGGATCTCACTCCAGGAGAGAGGAGAAATATGCCACCTCCATTCTGAGCCTGTTTTTAGATGTAGGTTTTTTTTTCATCGTCTATTTTCGGTTTGTGGAGGGTGCCCTAGTGCAGGACCACTCTGCTCTTTGGTGTATGATGAACAAGGCTTCCTGGAACAAATACTAGTTTCATTCTCCATGCTCTCCTCTAATTCTCCCCCTTTCAAGCCAGAGAAGAAGCCCATATCCTACCCCTGTATTCATGAGAACACACAGCAGAGTTGAGCAGTTTCATAGTCTACAACATGAGAAAATGCACTTATGTGCCTATGGTTTGAACAGGCCAATTTTGAAATTGCTACAGTGAAAAAACAAGCTGTGAGAGAAGATTTATACTAGCATTACTAAACTTCACCCTGCCTCAGCACAAGGTGCTGGGACTACTTTACTACCTGAGTTCCCTTCCAGCTCACCATTTCTGTAATTCTCTGATGACTAGACTTAGATCAGGAGAATGAACATCATCTGGGAAGGGGGAAAAGGAGGTGTGTTCTTGAGGGAGAGAAAAAAGTAAAATCACTGAATGACTGTATTAAGATCAAATGGAAGAGGTGGCGTTCTGTGAGCAGGTGGCATAATATTAAAGCCTTTTGTGAAATTTCATTCTTCATGATAAAATACACCATATTTTGCTGCAAAATAGAGGTAGCACTCATTGCCTAAGCCTGATAAAACTCTACTGTGGAGGGATATCAAGCTTAATTCCATCAATGAGACAGACAGAAGATTCTCAGTTTGAATGCAGAGACAGAAGTGTAAAAATGTATTTCTTACACACCTTGGTTTTCAGATTAAGGAAAACTGTGGTGTAGTTAAAGATTCTAACAATTAAGGCTAGTGACAAAGAGTACATTATGAAAGTGCTTTAAGGCCTCAAATGTAATTAAATCATTAACAGAGCTGCCATGAAGACACTGATGCATCTTCTGAATTCGAAGCTAACTATCTGAAAGAATGAGAAGAGGACAGTTCTTATGAAGAAGTATTTTTGTTGTAAATAAGCTGGGCTGTTTCATTTTTCTTACACCTGCTTTGCTCATGCATTCAGAGGCAGAACTCAGTGTGTTTAAGGCTACATCCAAAGGGCTCCTTGCTCAAGATGATAGCAATAAAATGGCAACTCTCGAGGAGATACACATCAGTGCCGCATAGAGATAATAGAAATATTTGTTGATTGCATTAACTCTTATCAGAACAGTGCAAAGGATTGCATTAATAAGAGTGAATTCAAAACTAATAAATATACAACAGCCTTCAACACCAGCTTGTTGCCCACACATCATGCTCTAAGTAGCTTGCCTTCCACTTCCTCCTACTAGCTTTTCTTTTTATTCTGGGGAGAAAGACAAATGCTTTGCAATGTTCCTTACTGTGTATTTCTACTGAAGTAAGTTTTTTCGAGGCACAAGTTGCTGAAACCATGTAATAAGATTCCCATACAGAGACCTTGTACAATGCCTAATGTAGGCAGTGCCAGCCTTAGTGCGTGATGCTCTCCAGTATGCAAAATTAAAAAATAAAAAGTGAAAAGAAGCTATTCTCCAACAGAAAGATTGAGCGAGAGGCATTATGGAAATTACACAAGTTTAGGAGAGATTCCCTCCATTGCGACGAGATGTTTAAAGTATAGTGGAGGGCAATGCATGTGGTCTTTTAGACAGGAGCAAACAGCTGTAAATCTGTACTGGGGGCAAATCTCAGTGAGATGCTTTGCATGTATTCCCAAGCAATGTGAGGACACTGATACACCAGTTGCAAAGAGGCGATAAGGATGAGTCAGAAGGAGATACTAACAGCAGCTCAGTATAAAAAGAGAGATAAAAAATAAACGGTCTTAGTACTAAGGCTGTAATAAACAAACATCTATAGTAGATGAATACCCCAAGTCTGAAGCAAAGGAAGACAGTAGCCAGATGTTAGAAAACTCTATCCCCAACAAAAAAAAAAAAATATTTTTTTTGGGGGGGGGGGGGTGAGTATGTAAATATACGTAAGCAGAAATCAAGGGAGGAAACAGAAGCATAATATGGAATGAATTGCTGATAAATATAGCAATGGTGTTCGTACACCAAGCAGAGCAGTTACACTCTGAGATACCATAGTGTAAAACAAGAACAGTCTTCTTTGCTTCATATGGTGTGAAAGCCAATCACAGTAGTAAAGTGTCATGCCATGAAAAACCCCTGTAGACAGGTTTCCCAGACATGGCAGGTCCTCTCTCCCCAACCCCTTTACACACATCTCCCAGAGATCTTCATGATACTTTAGTGATAACTCTAAACCCATGTCATCCCTTGCAGGCACAGGATTGAGTTAGTTCTTCTACGTAGCATCACACCAAGCAATTCTACATCTGCTCAGGTGTGCTGCCCCTTGCATGGCTTGAGGACCACTTCTAATGAGTCCCTCAGGAAAGAGCCTCAGGCCCTGCATTCCTACTATTACTTTACTAACATGTTTCTCTTCCAGTCCACCGCTCCCTTTTATCCAAGAAGAACTTTCTGCATCCTGTGTGCAGCCACAATGGCTTCATCCTCTGAGTCAGACTCGCTTTGGGAAGTGGAGCTCTGAGAGGCGGAGCTGCAGGGGGAAGAGCATTCTGGGGAGCACAGGTAGTGCATCAGCGGCAGGCGGTACTTCCCACAGAAGTCAACAAACTTGATTTGTCGGACACAGCTGTCGAAGTAGACACCTGCAAGGGGAAGGAAAGCAAGGCTGTTTTTAGAATGGCTCGATGGTTTGCTCTGAAACCTGCATGGTCCACGAAATGAACAAGACAGACATGATGTCTGAAGCACCTGCCTCATCTTAGGAATGAATTCAAACAACAAATGTTATGGAAATAAGAACTGGGGTGGGATGGGGTGGAGGAACAGCATCGCAGTGTTCTGGAGCAGAAACTGAAAGGATCAGTTTATGTGCAGCTTTGGTAATACGTGTACTTATCAGATTTTTTCAGAGCAGGTTGCTAGGGATACAAAATACTGTTTATTTGGTTAACCAATTAAATGTTGTGTTAAGCATTAAGTTTAACCAGTTAGCTAATTCAAGGGGATCGACCTACTGCAGGCTGCTTGCAGTCCAGGGTCGTTTCTGGCCCCACACAGAGCTGCCAGCTCCAAGCCTGTGTGTGCTGGGACCGTGGGTGGGAGGCTGCTCCCAGGTACTGGTTAACCGTTTCCTGGTCACATCCCTCATCTGCACCCCCACTCTAATGTGGCCAATGATTTGCTCACCCTGGGATAGAATTTGTTAAGTAGTTGCTAAAGTGGCACCAAGAATCAGGACACTTGTGTTCTATTCCCAGTTCTGTGGCTGATTCATTATGTGGCCTTGCAACTCAAGGGACTTAAATTCTTACTTCTCCCATCTGTAAAACAGAGACAAATGGGAAAATTGCTAGAACTTAGCAGTTACCTCCCAGGGGTTTGAGAGAATTCATGTTTCACCGGGGTCTCTCAAGTGCTTTAGAAAGTTATAGAAGGGCAAAGTACTATTTGAAGAGAGACACAAAGGTCAATTCATTCCACAGAAAAGGAAATTTCTCTAAGAATTCAGAAGGAACGTCATGCTGGGGACTGCCAAACATATCCCAAAGTGTTGAATCCATTTACCCGCTGTGTTTTCCAATTTATGAGGTCCAATCTACCAGTTATCAAAGGTGTTTGTGTGTATAAATAAAAGCTCTCTCTCCCTCCTAACCCCTTCCTCTTCTGCTTCAGTGAAGTTACCATGCTGAACTTCTATGCTATTTTCCATGAGAACAGAACCATGCCATAACACACAGCTATGCTCTCCTCGTATTGCAGGGAGGTTGTTCTGATTCAGACATAGGCATTTTCAGAAGAGGTGTGTTTGTGGTTTTGGTTTGCAGAAGCAGCGCCATTCTAGTTAATGAAAAAGTGAAACCAATCCGTCTATTTTTATTGCCCAAGCTGTTTGAAAGGAAAGGAAACAAATCCCTCTCCCTCTCAATACAGCCCAATATCAGGCCTTGCTACCCTCCATCTACTCCCTGGTTTGAAGCAGTCATATTTAGCTGACAGAACCATGATTGAAGAACAAGTTGTAGTTAAGGAACAGACTAAGAAATAGATCATTTGCATTAGAATAAATGCCTTGCAAAAATGCATTGCTTGGAACGCCCCGGGCTTATGCAATACTCGTAAAATCCCTCACACTCTTTACTTGTGACAGTTGTGCCAAATAGTGTTCCCTCTAAACTGCACAGCAGCACAGCTTCACAGGTGATTAATCAGCCCCACCCAGTCAGTCAGCTCCACCCATGGAGCCCTGAGCCTCTGACTGCGCAAGGCTGATTAATCACCTGTGAAGCTGTGCTGCCACCCAGCTTAGAGGGAACGCTGGTGCCAAACACTCTGGGATACGTACTTTAGGAATCCCAGAACATGCTGGTACAGTCACAAAGTTCTAAAAGTGCATTTTGCAGACCAGCCACAGCAGTTCTTTAAAAAACGGTACGCCCATGCAGAGGATGCAAACCAGCAAGATTTTAAGCCACTGATGTCCCTGCATCAACTTTCTTGCTTTGTCTACACGAGCAAGTTTTGTGGCCAAAAACTGCCTTTTGTTGACAAAACAGTGAGAACGTACACACTACAATACAACTTTTGTCTGGAAAAACTCCCAGTTTTGGCGACAAAATATTTCCAGCCCCACGAGAGACTTTTGTCTTTTCCCCTCCCTTTATTATCGACAAAGGGCCAGCGTAGATTCTGTTTGTTTTTGTTGAGAAAATTGGCTTTCGCCAGTATCCCACAATGCCTGCCCTGATAGTGTTTTGTGATCTCTGCTGCCCTGCAGGCATGCACCTCCCCGCTTTCAAAGCTCTGGGAAGTATCTGACAACTGAGTGAGCTGCTCCATTTGGGGAACAAAGAACAAATCACTGGAACACTTCTGCTCTTCCTTGCACTAGAAAGACAGCAGCAGGCACACAGCTGCTACAGGGGAAGAGCTGGAGAGATGGCTGTGCTGCTTTGACATTCCTCAGCATGGAGAGCTGACAGAGTTAGGAAGGAATCCCAAAAAGTGCAGGGATCAGCTATGGCATCTCACAACACTGTGCTGTGGGATGCTTACCCACATTTCTTTGCTCTGATCTGTTATTGGGTGCTAGCAATGTGGCCATGAAATGTCGACAATGGAAGACTGAAAAACTGGTTTGACCGGTTTTCACTTTCGGGCAACTTTTGCATGTTGACAGCACTTTTGATGCCAACTCTTCCCAATGTGAACATAGCCTAAGTTAAGAAAAAACAGGGATGCAGTCCCTTGAGGAAGAAAATAAGACTACACCTGGGACTAACTGAATTGCTCACAGCAGGAACTGACTGGTATAACAATACATGCAACGAAGGCAGGGATTCTCAACTTTGGAAGCACATGCTGAATGCTGCAACATAAGCATGGTTGCAAATATATGCAAATAGTTTCTTTCACACTAACAGGCATGAATACAAAGGTTAAGGCAAGACTACACAACATGCAGGCCCCCATTAAGTCAGTTCTGCTGATATTAATGCCTCGACTCAGACATCTAACTTCTGCAATCATTGCCAAGTCACCAGACTGTGTTTTGTACTCCTCAACTTGTCTTTGTTTCAAGGCATTTGCAACAATGAAGTTGATGCTTTTTGTGACACTATCCATTGTGCTCTCGAGAAATCTTCTCTTCAGTTTGCTGTGTAACTGTTCTTGGTGCAGAATGCAATAGTATGAAAAGAAATCTGGAAACTGTGGATTTTTCTTCAGCAAAGAAATTAGCCCATTCTCTTTTCCAACCATGGAGGGAGCGCCATCTGTTATTACCGAAGTAAGCTTCTTCAGATCAATACATTTTCCTGATCCTTCAAAAAATGTCATCAGCAAAGAATAAATGTCCTCTCCCCTAGTTTGACCCGTCAAAGGTAGCAGAGTAAGAATTTCTTTGAAATACTTTTTGCCATTGAAAAAACACATCCAGATTAAGAGCTGAGATATGTCTGAACAATCAATAGATTTGCCCATTGCCAGACTGAAATACTCGTGCTTTCAATGTTGTTTAGCAATTTAGAAAACAGATCACCTGAAATGCTTTCAATTCGTCTTACTACAGTTGAATCAAACACTTGCTGTTTTGATGGTTAACTATAGCCTCTTTAAAAAAAAAAAAATTCTACAAAAAGTGATTTGCTGCAGTCCAAGCACTGCTTCATCAATTCACCTTCAGTCAAAGGTCTATTTGATTTTAGCTGTGCGCCAAGTCATTCTGAAGGCGGCTTCCGTAATGGCATCACTGTCTTTAACTTGTGAATGGAACATATCTTGTTGAGTACGGAAACCTTTCAGTAAAGAACATATCTTAGTTTTTCTTAAATTGCTGTCAGGTGGATACAAGTCTTTGAACTCAGGGTGACAAGATTCATGGTGCCATTGCAGGTTTGTTTTCTTTAACGCAGTGACAGTCTTTTGACAAAAAAGACACATTGGTTTTCCATTTATCTCTGCAAAGCGAATTCCATCTCCCAAACATTGGGTTGAAAACCCAGTGTTCATCCAACAAGCATTTCTTCTTTGTTGCCATTTTTAATGCTTATTAAAAGAAAATTGTACACCAGTGTTTTGAGCGTTCAACTTGAAGCTTTAGGTTGTGCGTTTCTTACCATAATGCACACTGCATGACTGTCGACAGCAAAGGGAGAGGGAGAGACAAAAGTCTCTCACAGAGCAGAAAGTTTTTTGTTGCCAAAACTGGATGCTTGTCGCAATTTGTCATGCTGCAATGTGAACGCTCTCCAAGTTTTGTTGCCCAAAAGAGTTTTTTGGTGACAAAACTTGCCAGTGTAGACAAGGCCTAAGTTACTAAAAAGAGCGCTAAGTTAGAAGGAAATAGAAGCGTTGTTGGGTAAGAACAGGGTGCAGAGAGCAGCTAACTTACCTCCGCACTTAGGATTGGGGCAATTGCTGGCCAAGCTCAAATATCTGACAAGATTCCCTGGGAGATCACTGGGAGCATAGGGAATATTGCGGATTTTAACGGTGCGTCCAGCCAGTTCCAGGAGACTTGGGGGATTGTAAGTCAGATCACGGACAAAGCGAACAACCAGTGGGTTCCCGCGCAAACTCAGCTCTTCCAGGTGAACCAGGTTTAGGATCTCCCGGGGGAGGTATGTCAGCAGATTGTTGTGAAGGCTAAGGGAACGCAGGGAATGCAACCTGAAAAATCAAGAGGGAGACAGTCAAGAGGGAAAAGCAAAACCTACTCACAGATGCATTACAAAGCGCCCCCCCACCCCCATTTACTACCTTTCTTGATAGCTTATTTCCTTTGGCTTTCTCCTTTAAGCACAAAGCCATACTAAAAGAGGTGATGATCTAGCACACAGACTGGCCTAGGAAGAACTTGGCCTAAGAAGAACTTGGCTCAGCTCCTTAACGCATGTCAAAGAAATAAGCAAGGCCCTAAATGTATCTGCCAACCCACTCTAAAAAACTAGTATGCATCTAAACAAAATGAATGTTTTCAGAGGAAAGTTTTCTTACACCAAGTAAAAGGCTAAAAGGCTCCTCATAATGCTCTGAATAGGTCACCTGTTCTCATTCATGTATTAAAGATGAACACACTAGCAGCCAGCCAATTCTGGCAAACTCCATGCATTCACTGTCTGCACCTGCATCACTGCAATATCAGATCCTGGCAGAACTCAAGAGCTAAGCAAGGTCAGACCAAGTGAGTGTGACTGGAGGACACACATTGGTTTTTTTGTATGCAGACTCCCCTCTGTCAGCAACGAACTAGTATTCCTGTGTACTGCATAAGGACTTTGTGCTTCTGGAAGTGACATCTTTCAAATGAAACAAAACCAAGATTTTGAGCACTTGATGTCAGAGATCCCTTGTCAAGAGCAGTAATGCTAAACCCTGCTATCCCTATTCTGTGATCACCTTAGCTTGTAGTTTTCATTGCATGGGGTATTCTTTCCTTTCTGTCTTGAACCATTGTATAGATTGCTCCTGTTTTGTAGTGGATAAAGCAATCTAACATTGAGGGGTGTGTGTTGTGAGCCTTAGTGAATATTTTAAAACTATTGTGATATCCTTGAATGAGACGATATAGAAGATCATCATGAAAATAAGACAGAGAAAAGATTCTGTGTGAAGTGCAAAGGAGGCTGAGCACAATATGGTGGAAGTGTAGTGTGTGGCATTTATTTCTGCAAAAGCTGAAATGCAAATAAGCATTTCCTAAGTCTGTGTTTAGATGCTATGGTGATGCGTCCTATAACAAATCCTAAAATGGACATTCGCTTTCACATTTTGAATATATAAGGTTCACACTATACATTTGAAGTCTTCCTTGCATTGCCTGGTGCCAAAAGCTCCCATTGCAGACCTAACCTTGGATTAAGAATTGAAGAGCAACCAGATTTTCCCCAGGTACTCGCATCCAAATTTTCAGAATAAAGAGGTCTGAGCATTAGCTGGTGGCTGAAGACAGCAAACTGGCTAGAAATACTCACTGTGCTAGCTGTGGAGGAATACTCTGAATCTTGTTGTCAGACAGCACTAGGTAGCTTAGCGAAGGCAGGTTCGCTAACTCAGGTGGGATTGAAGTAATGAAATTCCCTCCAAGGTACAAAAACTCTAAACTGAAAGAGAAGATGACTGCATTAGTTTATTAATTTTATTTCTGCAATTTCATTTAGTGCTGGGTCTCATAAAAATCTATGAGAGTTTTGCAGTTTGCACTGCAGATAAAACAATTTTCTGAAGACACGCCTGTGGCATTATGCTCCATAATTTCATACTAATATTATAAGTACAGCATAATTATGTATTTTGCGCAAGATAAGGCATGTGGAATATCATGGAAAAGTTATGATTTGCTAAATCTATATATCTATATCTATATATATTTTGCATAGTGAGTCAGTCTGTGAGTCTGTTTGTTCAAGAACACCTCCTAAGTGGTAAGAGCAAGAACTACCAAATTTGGGACGCAGCTTCCTCTTCTCCTAACTTAAAGCAAGGTTGAGGTTTGGTTGTGCCAGGAGAACCAGAAACCTTGGGAAAAGGACAGTTTTCCAAAACGTGCAAAGGGAGGGGCTGCTGTTCAGAGGCACTCGATATGAGAGTGTTCACTGGGGGCAGCGAGCCTACAGGGGAGAGCTATCCTGCAGAGTGTCCACTGGAGGCAGCCATACCACGTGAGTCAGTCTGTGAGTCTGTTTGTTCAAGAACACCTCCTAAGTGGTAAGAGCAAGAACTACCAAATTTGGGACGCAGCTTCCTCTTCTCCTAACTTAAAGCAAGGTCGAGGTTTCGTTGTGCCAGGAGAACCGGAAACCTTGGGAAAAGGACAGTTTTCCAAAACGTGCAAAGGGAGGGGCTGCTGTTCAGAGGCACTCGATATGAGAGTGTTCACTGGGGGCAGCGAGCCTACAGGGGAGAGCTATCCTGCAGAGTGTCCACTGGAGGCAGCCATCCCACAAAAACTAGGGCTCTCCCATATTGCCTGCCAGGACACCAGTAAGTAGCCCCTCTGCCCTCTTGGTCCTTGGTTGCAGTGCCAGAGGGAAGGGGGAGAAAGAAGGCCCATGGCAGCTGGGGGTAGCCTGGGAGGGAGGAGAGAGAACAGGCCTCTGGTAGGCTCGGAGGCAGAGAACAGGCCTCTGGTGGGGGAGAATATGCCCCTGGTGGGTGGGAGGACCCCAGCCTGGAGCTCCTCTTCAATCCCCAACCCTCACTCTCTCTCATATCTCAGCTTCCTGCACGCACAGGGGCGGATATAGGGCAGGGCGAACGGGGCAGCCGCCCCGGGCCCCGCGCTTCAGAAAGCCCCGCGGCAAAGGGGGGGCCCCGCGGAATTATGCTGCCCGGGGCCCCGCAAAATGGTCATCTGCCCCTGTGCACGCACACACTCCTTCCTCAAGCTTCTGCCCCAAAGGACCTGGGTAAGTCTACTAGCATGATTATATTGTATGCATGTAGCATTTTTGTATCTGAATTCAGGAATATTCTCTCTGCATCTATTATAAATATGTTTACACTGGGGAACGCTCACTAGATAGAATGCAAGCTGTGTAGATTGCTGGCAGGAAAAAGCCTTATTTCTCAGCTCCTATTGGCCTGTTTCTGACCAATAGGAGTTGAGAGATTTTGCTAAGGGCGGGGGCAGCACATAAAGCCTCTCCCTCCCTCACAGCAGTGCAGAGAGCCACATGCACACCCAGCCACCTGTCTGGGGCTGCTGGCGGGAGGGGGGGGGGGGGGGGCCGCGTTCGGGGGCCAGGGATGCAGTCCCTTGAGGAAGAAAATAAGACTACACCTGGGACTAACTGAATTGCTCACAGCAGGAACTGACTGGTATAACAATACATGCAACGAAGGCAGGGATTCTCAACTTTGGAAGCACATGCTGAATGCTGCAACATAAGCATGGTTGCAAATATATGCAAATAGTTTCTTTCACACTAACAGGCATGAATACAAAGGTTAAGGCAAGACTACACAACATGCAGGCCCCCATTAAGTCAGTTCTGCTGATATTAATGCCTCGACTCAGACATCTAACTTCTGCAATCATTGCCAAGTCACCAGACTGTGTTTTGTACTCCTCAACTTGTCTTTGTTTCAAGGCATTTGCAACAATGAAGTTGATGCTTTTTGTGACACTATCCATTGTGCTCTCGAGAAATCTTCTCTTCAGTTTGCTGTGTAACTGTTCTTGGTGCAGAATGCAATAGTATGAAAAGAAATCTGGAAACTGTATTTTTCTTCAGAAAAGAAATTAGCCCCTTCTCTTTTCCAACCATGGAGGGAGCGCCATCAGTTGTTACCGAAGTAAGCTTCTTCAAATCAATGCATTTTCCTGGTCCTCCAAAAATGCCATCAGCACAGAATAAATGTCCTCTCCCCTAGTTTGACCCGTCAAAGGTAGCAGAGTAAGAATTTCTTTGAAATACTTTTTGCCATTGAAAAAACACATCCAGATTAAGAGCTGAGATATGTCTGAACAATCAATAGATTTGCCCATTGCCAGACTGAAATACTCGTGCTTTCAATGTTGTTTAGCAATTTAGAAAACAGATCACCTGAAATGCTTTCAATTCGTCTTACTACAGTTGAATCAAACACTTGCTGTTTTGATGGTTAACTATAGCCTCTTTAAAAAAAAAAAAAATTCTACAAAAAGTGATTTGCTGCAGTCCAAGCACTGCTTCATCAATTCACCTTCAGTCAAAGGTCTATTTGATTTTAGCTGTGCGCCAAGTCATTCTGAAGGCGGCTTCCGTAATGGCATCACTGTCTTTAACTTGTGAATGGAACATATCTTGTTGAGTACGGAAACCTTTCAGTAAAGAACATATCTTAGTTTTTCTTAAATTGCTGTCAGGTGGATACAAGTCTTTGAACTCAGGGTGACAAGATTCATGGTGCCATTGCAGGTTTGTTTTCTTTAACGCAGTGACAGTCTTTTGACAAAAAAGACACATTGGTTTTCCATTTATCTCTGCAAAGCGAATTCCATCTCCCAAACATTGGGTTGAAAACCCAGTGTTCATCCAACAAGCATTTCTTCTTTGTTGCCATTTTTAATGCTTATTAAAAGAAAATTGTACACCAGTGTTTTGAGCGTTCAACTTGAAGCTTTAGGTTGTGCGTTTCTTACCATAATGCACACTGCATGACTGTCGACAGCAAAGGGAGAGGGAGAGACAAAAGTCTCTCATAGAGCAGAAAGTTTTTTGTTGCCAAAACTGGATGCTTGTCGCAATTTGTCATGCTGCAATGTGAACGCTCTCCAAGTTTTGTTGCCCAAAAGAGTTTTTTGGTGACAAAACTTGCCAGTGTAGACAAGGCCTAAGTTACTAAAAAGAGCGCTAAGTTAGAAGGAAATAGAAGCGTTGTTGGGTAAGAACAGGGTGCAGAGAGCAGCTAACTTACCTCCGCACTTAGGATTGGGGCAATTGCTGGCCAAGCTCAAATATCTGACAAGATTCCCTGGGAGATCACTGGGAGCATAGGGAATATTGCGGATTTTAACGGTGCGTCCAGCCAGTTCCAGGAGACTTGGGGGATTGTAAGTCAGATCACGGACAAAGCGAACAACCAGTGGGTTCCCGCGCAAACTCAGCTCTTCCAGGTGAACCAGGTTTAGGATCTCCCGGGGGAGGTATGTCAGCAGATTGTTGTGAAGGCTAAGGGAACGCAGGGAATGCAACCTGAAAAATCAAGAGGGAGACAGTCAAGAGGGAAAAGCAAAACCTACTCACAGATGCATTACAAAGCGCCCCCCCACCCCCATTTACTACCTTTCTTGATAGCTTATTTCCTTTGGCTTTCTCCTTTAAGCACAAAGCCATACTAAAAGAGGTGATGATCTAGCACACAGACTGGCCTAGGAAGAACTTGGCCTAAGAAGAACTTGGCTCAGCTCCTTAACGCATGTTAAAGAAATAAGCAAGGCCCTAAATGTATCTGCCAACCCACTCTAAAAAACTAGTATGCATCTAAACAAAATGAATGTTTTCAGAGGAAAGTTTTCTTACACCAAGTAAAAGGCTAAAAGGCTCCTCATAATGCTCTGAATAGGTCACCTGTTCTCATTCATGTATTAAAGATGAACACACTAGCAGCCAGCCAATTCTGGCAAACTCCATGCATTCACTGTCTGCACCTGCATCACTGCAATATCAGATCCTGGCAGAACTCAAGAGCTAAGCAAGGTCAGACCAAGTGAGTGTGACTGGAGGACACACATTGGTTTTTTTGTATGCAGACTCCCCTCTGTCAGCAACGAACTAGTATTCCTGTGTACTGCATAAGGACTTTGTGCTGCTGGAAGTGACATCTTTCAAATGAAACAAAACCAAGATTTTGAGCACTTGATGTCAGAGATCCCTTGTCAAGAGCAGTAATGCTAAACCCTGCTATCCCTATTCTGTGATCACCTTAGCTTGTAGTTTTCATTGCATGGGGTATTCTTTCCTTTCTGTCTTGAACCATTGTATAGATTGCTCCTGTTTTGTAGTGGATAAAGCAATCTAACATTGAGGGGTGTGTGTTGTGAGCCTTAGTGAATATTTTAAAACTATTGTGATATCCTTGAATGAGACGATATAGAAGATCATCATGAAAATAAGACAGAGAAAAGATTCTGTGTGAAGTGCAAAGGAGGCTGAGCACAATATGGTGGAAGTGTAGTGTGTGGCATTTATTTCTGCAAAAGCTGAAATGCAAATAAGCATTTCCTAAGTCTGTGTTTAGATGCTATGGTGATGCGTCCTATAACAAATCCTAAAATGGACATTCGCTTTCACATTTTGAATATATAAGGTTCACACTATACATTTGAAGTCTTCCTTGCATTGCCTGGTGCCAAAAGCTCCCATTGCAGACCTAACCTTGGATTAAGAATTGAAGAGCAACCAGATTTTCCCCAGGTACTCGCATCCAAATTTTCAGAATAAAGAGGTCTGAGCATTAGCTGGTGGCTGAAGACAGCAAACTGGCTAGAAATACTCACTGTGCTAGCTGTGGAGGAATACTCTGAATCTTGTTGTCAGACAGCACTAGGTAGCTTAGCGAAGGCAGGTTCGCTAACTCAGGTGGGATTGAAGTAATGAAATTCCCTCCAAGGTACAAAAACTCTAAACTGAAAGAGAAGATGACTGCATTAGTTTATTAATTTTATTTCTGCAATTTCATTTAGTGCTGGGTCTCATAAAAATCTATGAGAGTTTTGCAGTTTGCACTGCAGATAAAACAATTTTCTGAAGACACGCCTGTGGCATTATGCTCCATAATTTCATACTAATATTATAAGTACAGCATAATTATGTATTTTGCGCAAGATAAGGCATGTGGAATATCATGGAAAAGTTATGATTTGCTAAATCTATATATCTATATCTATATATATTTTGCATAGTGAGTCAGTCTGTGAGTCTGTTTGTTCAAGAACACCTCCTAAGTGGTAAGAGCAAGAACTACCAAATTTGGGACGCAGCTTCCTCTTCTCCTAACTTAAAGCAAGGTTGAGGTTTGGTTGTGCCAGGAGAACCAGAAACCTTGGGAAAAGGACAGTTTTCCAAAACGTGCAAAGGGAGGGGCTGCTGTTCAGAGGCACTCGATATGAGAGTGTTCACTGGGGGCAGCGAGCCTACAGGGGAGAGCTATCCTGCAGAGTGTCCACTGGAGGCAGTCATACCACAAAGAGAGTGGCCAGCAGGGCCAGGGCTCTCCCC